TAATATAATATAATATAATATAATAGTTATTATATCCGAGTTGTCTGGAACGCAGCATTAGGTTAACATTTCAATAAATGAGCGTGTACTACAATTAGGAGCCATTTTATAAGGTGACATTTCAGCACTTGACAAATGGATAGCAACTCCTAAGTAGCACTTGAAGCATGGCTACACGCGACTGCGTTAAGTGAATTTTTAGGAAACGCACTTGAAACAATAACGAACGATCATAAAATGACTCGTAGAAAACGCTCTTAAGTGCTAAGATAAATCGTTATCGAGAAACGCAGCCCTGGCTGTTGTATAGGCTATATTTCTTGCAAATATACATCTCATATGAAGCACAACACTGCTCTTCTTGGTTCGGCGGCACCGGCCTATACTTCCACAATAACAACAAAACGTTACAAATTGCTTTTGTAAAAATAACAGGGAGCGCTTTCTGGCGCACCTTGTTATGTCTAAAGGTCTACTTTAATAAAACAATCGAAAACAAATTTGTGTTTATTTAATTCGTGTAGTCTAAATCCAACAAGAGGTTCTGTACAGTCTTTCCCGTCTGAGCTCACGAGAAAAGGTGTCATTAAAACGACATAACTGAGTGGAAAAAAAAAAATGTGTGTGGCAGCAATGCGTCACCGTACTCTTGACTGCAGTACAGCAACTAAGTTTAACCCTCAGACTAATGACAACATCAAGAACAAAACAGAAGTTCTTTTAAACATTTAGCCTGATTATAAACACTGGGCTGTTAGCCTACCAAACTGGCCTTAGATACAGATAATATTGTGATGAGGTGAGTGAAGACAAAAAAATAATGTCAAATAATGTAAAACCAGAGTGTGTATATGAAAGAGGAGCTGGACGAATTGTAATAGGGAAAAAATATCAGTATAGCAGCAGTAGAAAAGAAAGTTAAAGGAATAGTTTGCCCAAAAATGAAAATTTGCTGAAAATGAACTTGCTCTCAGGCCACCCAAGATGGAGCAGATTTGGAGAAATTTAGCATTACATCACTTGCTCACCAGTCTATCAATTAATGTCTTGTAATGTGAAAATCGATGTTTGTTCTAAACAAATCCATTAAGGTGTTTTCATTTCAAACGGTCGTTTCTGGGCAAAATATGAGTCCATAATCTCCTGTTGTCCTCTCACATCAAAATCCACCGACATATTTGTTTAGAACTGGTTTTGCTTGTAAGTGGTGCTTGATCTGTGCACATTTCTCTCCTGATTCAGTTTTTAACTTAACAGTTGTTTCCGGCTAAAATACGAGTCATCTATCTATAATATTGCTTTCACCAGTGAAGTAGTCTCATCTGAATCAGGTGAGAAATATGTACAGATCAAGCACTGACAAGTGAAAACGGTCAAAAAAAGATTTTGACGTGAGAGGAAAGCAGGGGATGGACTTTTTCAATGGAGGAAGTGTTAGTATGGATTATAGAATTGTATTTTGCCAGAAACGACGGTTTGAAGTGAAAACGCCTTGTTTATGGATTTGTTTATTACAAACATGCAGCTTTTCACCTCTGAAGATGTTAATTGATGGACTGTAGTCATGTGGATTCTTGTGATGTTTTTATCAGCTGTTTGGACTCTGATTCCGACAGCACCCATTCACCACAGAGGATCCATTGGTGAGCAAGTCATGTAATCCTAAATTTCTCCAAATTTGTTCAGATGAAGACACAAACTCGTCTACATCTTGGTTGGCTTGAGGGGAGAACGCTTTCTTTTTCATTTTTGGGTGAACTATTGCTTTTAAACATCTGTGTATAATATAGAATTGAAGTCACATCTAATTGAGATGTTTTATATTAGCAGTGCAACAGTGTTAAGTTATCAATTCAGTGAAACATAATTGGAATTGAGCATGAAACATTATAATAAGCTTGTTATAGATGTACACATTTTTGTTATGAATATAGCGCCATTAACAACATGAAATTGTACACCACTAGCTTTGTATAAAACAAATGAAATTTATAGATGAAACAAATGACGTGAAGAATGAAAATCACAATTGGTGAAAACCAAGAATACAATTTATTATTTAGACCACTGCATACACAGAGTCTGAGTTGTAAAACATTGACTTCTCATCCCTCTATTGTAAAATCAAGGTTAGATGCAGCAACAAAAGTGATTTGCTTTTCTACTCCACATTCATCTTTTTAACTAGTACCACTACTAACACTTTGAACCACTGTTTTAATGTACATTATACAACAAATGAGTGTTGAAAAGATTTTGTATTGTGTAATTTTTTAATCACTGACACTACAATAAACCTGTTTTTATATTTGCTTTTTAATCTCCATACTGTATTTGTTCATTATGTAAATTAGTGACTGTTGTATAAAAATACTTTATACAAAAACAATAGCAAAATCTCGTTACCTTAAAATAAGAGTGATTCAGAACACAAATGAGAACGGTTTGACAAGTTAATACACAACTCTGAGTGTCTCTATTCAAGTATTTATAGCCCTACTAACATGGGAGAGCTGAACCTCAAGTAAAACTTAAAGTTTCCAGACAGACAGTTCAATAATTCTGTTGGTCTGGAGTGACAAAAATGTCAAATGTCATGACAATTTCATATATGAATGTACTGAAACCTTAATCATATCTTTCAAAAACTGTGATTTCAATATTGCTACAGTACCCTGTAGAAAGACGCATACAAATTCCCCTTAAAAATTCCCCAGTAACTGTTCTATTTCGTTCTTTATTGTTTTATTATATATACGGTCAACATGTATGAAATGTCACTCCAATGCTAAATTAATACAAGCATATTCTCCCAATGCTGCATCATTACTAGCTTACACTGACAACTTCTGTGATCAAGTGTCACATCCGTGAGGTAGTTCTACAAGTTACAAATTTAATGCAGTTATGAGAATGAGGTAGTGTGCTGCAAACTATTTCAGAAATATAATGATATGTAATATAACGGATTCAGATAGCTTGGAACTCTGTTTGGTTTTAAAAGCTGAACACGAACACAGGATAATATTTGAGGGAAATCTTACACCTGAGAGTACTTGATTAATGTTGAAGTATGGGTGTATATGTATCATTTGAATAGCAGCGGGTTGTACATTTCAAGTGTCTTCATTGTAGTGTTTTGTGTTTTGCAACAGAGAGGTCCACAGCTTTAGCTATCACACTTGCCTGAGAAGCCAGGCTGCTGGTGAGATCTGGTGAGGGGGCAGGACTTGAGGGTCGCATGTCTGTGACGTTTTGGAAACTAAACAGGCAGGGAAACCATGGAGGAGTGTTGTAAGCAATTAGGGGTGAGTCCTCTCTGCAGCTGGTCACTTTGAAATTGATTTTTGTTGATGTGAAAAATGTGTTTGGTGAGGATTGAGCTGATGATGGGATCCTTAACACAGAACTACATGATGATCTTTGTGAAGCTTTTAAGGACAAGTCCCGGGGAAGCTGAAGGGGGAAGTTAATAACACTCTTAGCATAATCAAAAAAAATTTAATAAAAATAAAAATCCCAAATTGGCTGTGGCTTGAAAATGAAATGTCTATGTACACTACTGTTCAATGGTTTGGGGTCAGTACAATTTTTTTTAATGTTTCTAATGTTATGCTCATCAACACTGAATTTATTTTAACAAAAAATACAGTAAAAACAATAACATTGTGAAATATTAGTACAATTTAAAATAACTGTCTTTTTTATATATATTATAAAATGTAATTTATTTATGTGATGGCAAAGCTGAACTTTCATCAGCCATTACACATGATGATTTAGAAATCATTCTAATATGCTGATTTGGTTCTCAAGAATCAATTATTATTGTCAATGTTGAAAACAATCGTGCTGCTTCATATTTTTGTGGAAACTGTGATACATGTTATTCAGGATTCTTTTTAAATAGAAAGTGCCTATATGGTCACTTATGATCAATTTAATGCATCCTTGCTAAATTAAAGTATTCATGTTTGGTCTCACTTTAGTCTGGGGACCAATTCTCACTATTAACTATGACTTTTGCTCAAACTCCTAATTTGCTGCTTATTAATAGTCATAATGGTTGTTGTTTAGGTATGGGGTATGATTAAAGGATCTAAAATATGGTCATGCAGAATAAGGCATTAATATGTGCTTTAGAAGTACTAATAAACAGCCTATATTCTAGTAATATGCATGCTACTAAGCAACTAGTTTGTCTTTAAAGTGCTACCTCATGATTTTTTAAAAAACAATCATAGTGACACCAAACTTTAAAATTGTAGTGTATTTGCTGTAACTGACTGTTACCAAGAACACAATTTCATAAGATATAAGAGCCTAAATTGTATATAAAAATATGAAAAGGAAGATATCCTTTCTTGGAATTTTTTTTACCCATTTACATTCATACCTGTGCTAAGTCTTCCTCGCTGTTTGTGCTCTCTGTGTCACTCTCTGTTGAGGCAAAATAGAGAATAGAATTCATAATTATATCCAGCTGTGTTTGTGGCCAACAATAACATAATTCAGTAATAGTAGCAGTAATATGTAGTTTATTATTCCAGTGGTAAATACAACACAAAGACAGTAGAGTTGAATGCAAAAAAAAAAA